AAACAATGTTAAAATAGGTAAAAGAAATGGGCTATGCTGGTGTAAAGGATTACGATGAACATTTAAAGATTTACATATCAGAAAATCTGATGTTAGGGCCTGCCTGTGGCTCACTTGGGAGAGTATGGTGCTGACAACACCAAGGGCCACGGGTTCGGATCCCTATATAGGGATGGCCGGTTAGCTCACTTGCGAGAGCGTGGTGCTGACAACACCAAGTCAAGGGTTAAGATCCACTTACCAGTCATTTAAAAAAGAAAAAAAAGAAAAGAAAAGAAAAGAAAATCTGATGTTACATCTATCCCCTTTATTTAGATAATTTAAGCTATAACTAGAAAAATGTAATGAACTACATATAAAAACCAGTCTTATTTTATAGTCACCCTGCTTGCACATTAACTGAATGGTAACCTATTAGCCTTGTGTTTCCGAGTAAAAAGCAATCATTGGATAAAGCAGACACTACCTGCCCACCTCTTCTTAGAGCTGTCATTGTCTTCTACATGAAACAATTTTTCCAAGCAACTGTTTCATTTGATATTTTATGAGCAAGGGAAATACGATTTGTAAACTAACATGTCCAATTTCAGTGACAGATACTTCCAAAAGGAAGCAAATTGCTGTAACTGCTATTGCAGGATTCCTTTCATTTTGATGTTAAGACAGCCAATCCCTTTTGAAAACATTTTAAAAATGTCACTCTCGACTGTTTCAGTGAGTGCGATAACCCCCAAGGGGAAATTATTGCTTAAGAAATTCTGCTTAAATAAAACAGTATAAACACTTGGTCAATATTTTCCTCATAAAAACGCAGCGCAATTAGACCAGACCGAAATGTTGAAGTTAAATTAGAGATCTGGCAATTATTGAGATGATTCTGGGTTCTGAAAAGAGCCATTCTGGAGCATTCAGACAAAATGACCTGTCTTTTCCTAAATTGTTTAATCTGAATTATCTGTAATTTGTGACTCTGGGAACTGACCTTAAAGGTTTAGCTGACTTGAGCTTTTGAAACACACCAGTCTGCAAAAGTCTCTGTGGAAGAAGTAAAGTCCTTGGTGAGACTTCTTTTTGTTACTTGGCATTTTTTGGACTACAGTGCTAAATCTGAATTGGCACATTATTAACCTTTTCAAATTAGGCATTTAGTAGGCTCAGCTGAATATTTTCTTAATTTGCACATTGGGTTTACTGGAACAGCTGGTGCTGCACTGGAATATTAGTTGAGAACTTTGATTTACATAGTCTGAGTGCAAACATATAAACTCTGCTTTTGGAGAGGATGACTTAATCAGTGTAGAATATATTAAACTTTATTAATAAGGAAATAGCAACAAATACTAACACTTATTGAGCATTTACTATGTCCCTGGCATGGTATACCTGTTGGTATATTCAGTCATTTAATACTTTTAACAATGTTATGAGGTTATACTCCCCCAATTTTGTGGATAAGAAAACTCAGACTGGTTAAGGTACTTGCTCTAAATCACACAATTAGTAAGTAGTAAAGCTTAAATTTGTACTTAGGCAATCAACCTGCAGAATCCTTGCACTTACCATTTTGTAACACTGTCTCTGTAAATGCATCAGATAACAATGAAGAGTGTCCACCTTCTCAGATGAGGTTTCATATGAAGGAGGTAACTAGAGATTTCAGGCCAACGGAATGCAAGCAACTCTTTACCACCCCCCACAACAAACCATAGGCAACATTGTTGTTCCTGTAAATGTGTGTGCATTTTTGGTTTATTTTAATATATCTGGGATATGGCTACTGAGCTGACACATATCAGGACCTATAGTAGGTACAAACCCATAAATGTATAGGGTGGGGTCTTCCTTCAAGTATAAGGACATTCTAGATGTTAGGTACCTGGAGAAGAGGTATCTGACAGACTCAGAACAAGTAGGATCCCTAACTGGTGGCAGACTGGAAACCCAGGTCTTCTGGTCTTGATCACCAAGTGACCAATAAGTCTGCACAGAGTGCCTGGTAATGGAATGGAATGTATTCTTCCTGAGGGGAGACCAGGGATGGACAGGGAAGACTCAGGGCAGAAGTAGGGTCATGGGGTTTGTGCCTCTCTAACCTATGTGTCTTTCTCTTTCGTCCTCCTTGAATGTTTGGAAAAGGTCTTTTGAAATTTCCAGTATATCTCAGATATCTCAATGAGTGAGTTTTTAAATAAATTGGGCCATCAAATGCCAGAAAGCAGCAATCATGGTGGTGGGGATGAATGAAGAGAACTCAGAGGGGAGTAGGAGAGAGATAAAGGTGGAAGGTGCCCAGTGACCTGCCATCCTCCCTTCCTTCTTGGTTCTGGTGCCAAACCTTGGAGGTCTGGCTTGTATCTTAATTTGAAGGCAGTACTCCTATATGCCCTGTACTGGCATAAAATGTATTTGAAAATGATTTGTAAAATAGCCACACTAGTTTCTTGCCACAATCAACCCTGAGAGAAATGAAGACTATCCAAGGTTTCTCTCTTCCTCCTTTTTAATGTACAAGTGAATAAATGTAGAAATCTACCCTTGCTGGATTGTCGACAATGCACATCTATTTGCAAGTGCCCATTAAACATGCTAGAGGGAATGCTACTTATATATTGATAGGATTTGTTAAGCTAAAAATGTTCCCTGCCCAACCCCATTCCTAGCTCAAAAGAAAATACCACTCTAAAGGTTTTACAAACATTTTTCTGAAGGCCTCTAAAGCTGGAGTACAAAAGAAGAGAAGAAAAAAAAAAGAAGCAACCAACCCTCTGGTGAAACTAACTAGAGCTTTGCCAAGGGAGCTCCAGGATGAGCTCTGAAAACATGTGTGCCACTTTCATTTCAAGAACTCTTGCCCCTTTCTCCTTTAGGAACACATTTATTTTTCTAGAAAAATACTTTAGATTCTGAAAACACCCTACATTGGAGTGCAGAGTCTCAAGAAGTATTTATACCAATTTTTATATCATTCTTCTGACATTTTATTGCAAGTAGCTCTAACAATAATCTGACTCCTAAAGAGATTACTTCAGAGGGAAGGATGAAGCTTCCATTTGCTTCATCACTGTTTAGGATATGCAAATAGAAACATAATTAGGGGAAAGAGGCAGTATGTCTTCCTTGGTTCGGGAGCCCCAGAACTGAATGCTGTGATCATCTTGGCTCTGATCCCAACGCACATGCTTGGGGAAAAGGAGCATAGGGTAGATAGGTAGGGGGCTACTCATCAGGTCCCTGACCCACCAGCCTCCTCACTTTGGTTTGGACAAGGGCAATATTCCTTTCCCTGGAACAGCGAGTCTAAACTGTAAGACTGATTAAAAAAAAAAAAAAAATCTCGAGCTCTTTTGGAAAAAAATGCTACAATACAGTGCTTGCTAGGGTTAATCCCGGTTTTGCCAACTGCCAGAGCTGTTCCAAAAAAAAAAAAAGAAAGAAAGGCAAGCCACTGGGGGCGGGTGGGGGAGGGGCGAGGGAAGCAAACAAACCTATCTGCTGGCTCTGCGGGCTCTCTCAAGGTTTTCTGAGCCTCAAGAAGAGATATTTTTAGCGAGCAGAAAGTAGAGGAACCTTCCATGTCATTTTTACAACACCTCTTGCTTCAAGGATTACAGGAATCACCACGCATGGCAATCCCGGAGCTGGGTATGTCAATTACACCTGCCTGATCCAAGCTCTCTCAGCCTGGTCCGAGGCTGCGCAACCAAAGCTACCTTAGGGTCTTCGGGAACCATCTGCGGACGCATCTCCAAACCATACAGACATCGGAGCGAAAAGGGTGTTTTCTCAGACGTTCAGCAAGTACAGAAAATACCACGCTGTAGCCTCAAATTGGGAAACTTTTCCTTAAAACTGCATTATCTTTTGTGAGCTGCCAAGAAACCTCTAGCTTCTTTTCAAGGGATTGAAATGACTCGGGTCCACAATTACAGGAACCCCAGGAACTCAGGGAGTCGAGTGGGCTTGTACTATGTGGCTCTGGATCATTTTTGACTAACCATGCCAGTGGCCACGCACTCGGGCTACTTTTTTCCACCGGTACCTCATCCACAATCAGTTGTGCTTGTTGGGCTGCATTTTCCGGAAAAATTAGGTACCCAACTCCAGACTCAGAGTGTTCTGAATCTCTCCCCGGCCCCCACCAAGACGAGCTCTGTCGTCAGGCTCTTTTCCCCCTAGCACCCCCTGCCAGGGTCGCCGCCGTTGGTGGTCCCAAGACCCGGGAGGCGCGAGGGGGGAAGCTGTCCCGAGGCAGTGTGTGTGAGGTGTGTGTGGCGGGGAGGAGTAGGTGGACTGAGGGGATGCTAGTTTTAGCCAAGTTACTAGTTCCTTCCAGACAGTGCATTTTTGGGGAGACTCTGGGCCACCGCGTAGATCTGTAACCCCCCAGAGGTGATCGCGAGCTTGATCCCGGCCGGGGCCACTGCCCAAGGGACTGTGCCGTTTCATCCCCCAGCATAAGTAGGAAGGGACTCTGGAGATCAGAGACCTTCAAGTCTAGGGAACGCAAACCAGCCCCACCAGGCGCGCAGCCACTGCTGAAGGCTTCCCAGATACAGCTACCCCCGACTCCGCCGACGTTTTCATCCCAACCCCGGGTCGAACCGCGGCAAGAAGTCTGGTCCCGGATTCTGGAAGGGTGCGTCCCGAGACCCTGGCGAAGAACAAGAAGCCTCGAGGAGCAGTCGGTGTCGCCCACCCGGTGTTCGAACGCGCCGCGCAGCCAGCCACCTGTTCCACAAAGCCGGAGTTTGTCCCGGCGCGGGTTGCGGCAGGAAGGACCCCGACATCCCCTTCCTCCAGCGCGGCTCACGACCTCCAAAGGCGCACATCAGCCCAAATCTAAGCGCGCGCACCCCCGTGCGCACCCCCGAGGCTCGCACCGCTCGGGCCACCTGCGCGCGGCACCTTACTTCCCAGTCTCCCAGCTTCAGCCCGGCCCCAGCGCGGGCCCTTGGGGCCCACACCGCGCCCGGCCGCTCGCGGAGGACGGAGCCAAGTACCTGCCGTGAAGATGCAAAGAGCGAAGAGAGTCTTGCAGACCATGGTACCCTGGTGCCTGGTGCCGAGCCCGGAGCTGGCGGCAGGGAGTTTGCTGGGACTGACCGAGCGCACCGGACGCAGGCGGCTCCTCCTCTGCCTGGCGGGCTGCGGTGGCACCGGGAGGCGCGCACGGCTGGGCACGCTCGGCCCCGGAGGCTCCGGTGGCAGGCGGCGAGGCGAGGCGAACGCGGCGCGGCTCCGTCAGCTGCGTGCCCTCCGGAGCCCGGTCCGCTTCTGCTCCATTCCAGCTGCCCGAGTCGGGGCCGCCTCCACCGCCGCCGCCAAACCCCTCCCACTGGGCGCCACGGCGATGACAGGGCCACCCACCGGCCTTCTTTCTCCCAGCTCTCGGGTCCCCGGAGCCCCGGCCCAGAGCGGCCTCTGCTGGACAGTGAGGACGCGAGACCCGAGCTTTGACTGGGTTCAAGCAAATGTTTAGAGCACCTGGTATTGCGCTGTGAACTAGGGATGCAAAGTGTGAGCAGATCCCTGCCCCTCAGGAATCTATCTCAGCTTTTCTTACGTGAGCTTACAGCTTTTTTAGGCGTCATTTCGGAGATCCAGCACATTTTCTTTCCAAATACGAGGACCTTTTCCTTCATTTCTTAAACCCAAACCCACATTCAACCCCACTGCCCTTCCGGTGCCGGAGCCAGGATGTCTGCTGCCCTATTCAGTTTCTTACCAGAAGAAATAGTATTAATATCCAGTAACATTGATCGTGGGATGTACTGAGCCAGGCACCCTACTAGGTGTATCGAGACTCCTTCTAACAACCCTATGACATAAGAATTACATTTTACAGATGAAAAAACGAAGGCACAGAGAAAAAAAGTAATGTGGTTGCATAGCTGGTAAGAATAGTTTGTGCACCAGATCCACAAGAACGAAGGCTGACATTTCCTGAGCAATTGCTGTGTCCTAGGCACTGGACAGCCTGTGGTACAAGTATTAACCAAGTCATTTAGTTCTCACAACAGTTTTTCGAGGTGGGCACTATTCTATCCTGACTTTTCAGGGGGAGGAAATGGAAGTACAGGGAGGTTTAAATACTTGCCCAAGGTCACACAAGTAGCAAATGGTAATAAGATGCTTGTCCAGGCACCCCGACTCATCCTCTGTACTCTTACTCCCTCTCCAAAGCCTAAAGCTTCTCAAAGCCCACAGATCAAAACAGACCTTTCGCTAAATTCCATCCCCTCTCCCCTTACATGCTTAGTTCTGACACCTCAACCAAACCTGATTCAGATTCCCTTTCAATACCTGTTATAATGAGTCTGGTGGTCCCTTAGTCACTAGAGCTGGGGAGCTGCAAAAACTAATGAACCTTCCTAAAGAACTGATTTGCTTGATAACCATTTTTAGCTCTGGAGAACAGCTTTCTTTTTTCTGTGACTTCTTTCTTGTGGTCTCTTCTCACTGCACAGGCCTTATCACCTTATCTGTGGCAAGATCGATTCCTGTGCCTCACTCCACCATTACCAATTGTAGATCTTGCTCACACTTCCACAGCCAGATTAAACATGGCTCATATATATATTTTTTTTTTTGGTCTTGGTAAATTTTTCCTTGGTAAATGATTCCTGTTGGAATGGGAAATAAAAGATCCTACAAGCAAGGGTCCATCCCCCTTCTCTCCTCCCTGCCCAGAGAAACTGAAAATTCAATTTGTTAAACAGTTCTCTGAATACTTTTGACCTCGAGGTTCTTCTGGTTTCTGGTGTAATCTACGTGATTAGGAAGAATTTCTGTATCTGGCTTTTGGTTGTCATGGAGGCAGGGACCACACACAGACTGAATTTTGCATGAACATTCTACAAGGCACTGGCATCTTTAAATAGGGCAATTTAAGTAAGTGACTCTATAGCAGAAATAAAGGTTTTTGAAGAGTACTTCACAGAAAAACTTATTCAATTGAAATTCAACAAAATTTTAATGGAGTCTCTCTGGAGTGTAAAGCATGTGTGACTCTAACTTTGATATCGAAGATGATGGTTTGGTATTCAAAGAATTGTGATCCCTACATACTAATCAGTAAAATTTCTGAGACTGTTTATTTTATACAGAATCAAGTTGAAATAATGTTTTAAATTAAAGTTCTTCATTTTAATTGCTGCTTAAAACTTTTAAATTTATTAATTTAGTCAAATTGTGTTTAATCACTTACTACGTGCCAGACTTTACTCTAGGCTGCGGGAATATAATAGTTGTGATAGCCACATAGGCTAGTTTATGCTGCTATAATAAATCAATCGAAAGCCCCCAGGGCTTAAGCAATAATGATTATTTCTTACTCATCAAAGTCTGCTATGGATCCAGTTTACTCCCTGGAGTAGCTGTCCTCTATGTCAGGACCCTGTGTTACTGTCATATCAAAACCTGCTTCCACATTCACTGAGTTAGGGGAAGAGAGAATTGGAGAGTTAAGTGCAGCATTTAAATCTTCCACCCAGAAGGAACACTTCTGATCATATTTCATTGGCTAAAGCAAGTCAATGGTTATGCCCTGCTTCAAGAAAGCAAGGGAGCACAATCACTTCACGTGCCCAGATAGAGAGGAAAACTGGATAACAGGGAACAGTTGTGATGTGTGCCGCAGTGGTTAATTGTCTCTGCCATCAGGAAGCTTATAATCCAGTAGCAGGGAGTCGAACGTTGAATTAACAATCCCCACAAATACATGAGATAATTTATATTAAATGCTACCCACTAACATTTATTGGGCTTCTGCTGCTATGTGTTAGCAATTGTTCCAAGCATTTTGTGTATGTTTATCTGTTTAAACTTTACATTTTGAGAGGTAGATACTGTAGGAAACCAGAATATGCCACCGCAAAATATGCCTTTTTGGCATAAGGATTATTTTGCGAACCAGCAGCTATAGGAGAAGCTCTGAGAACAGAGTGGAAGTTACCCTTTTGTAAAAGGAATTTAAATTTATGAAGGAGATCTCCATTGGTAAGGATGTCTCTCTCTCTGTGCTAGGAAGAGAAGGATATCCCTAAATTACTAGAGACTCACTGATGGAGAAAGCACTGACAATCTGCATAACAAACCTTCCCCTTGTTTGCCATGCTTTTCTGGTCACTTCCTCAACTACCTTCCCCCAAACACTCTTTTTTCTTTGTTTCTGCTGAAGTGGTATTTAAGCTTGAATTCAAAGCCACCTCTTTGAGAATGACTCATTCTCTGAGAATCTATCTCTCATGCACATATAAAACACACACGTTAATGAGTTTCTGTTTGTTTTCTCTGGTTAATCTGCCTTAGTCCCTTAGCAGGGGATCCCAGCTAAGAACTCATAAAGAGTAGAGAGTAAATTATTTTTGTCCCCTAAAATACTATTATTACTCAAATTTCACAAATTACAAAATTGAGAAGATACTTAGGGTTTAACTATGAAGGAAACCAAAGGATACTATGAGATAAAAGAGCAGGGAGACTTGCCTCCTTAGTGCGATCAGGGATGGAATTTGCACATGACCCTTTAGTTATGCCTTATAACAAAAGCCAGTTTCTTCATAGAATCCTCTTGGTTATTTTATAATGCTCAACTGGGATAAAATCTAAGATAAATCTGATTTTTACTGACTTCCACTCTTTTTTGATCATTGTTAAAATGAATTTCTAGTGTCATGAACTTTCAATATCTTATTAAAAAATTATGCTTGGCTGACTGTTTTTAACATACTGAATTTATTATACTTTATAGATAAGTTAGATAATATATGTTAGGTAATATAGAAATATAATTTCTGGACTCTTTGGAGAGAGAGAATGTCTTGTCTGAGAGAGCTGGGTGAGGCAGTATGTGCAGTGGTTAGAGATTCGGTCCTAATCCCCTCTGCCATCTACTAACTTAGTGACTCTAATTACGTGGCACTTCTGTGCCTCAGTTTCCACATTAGTTCACTTCTGTGCCTCAGTTTCCATATTAGTTCACTAGGGCTACCATATCAGAACACCACCAACTGGGTAGCTTAAATGACAGAAAAATGTTTTCAATGTTCTGGTGGCTGGGTGTCTAAGACAAAGGTACTAGGCAGGGTTGGTTTCTGGTGAGGCCTCTCTCTTTGGCTTGCAGAAGGCTGCCTCCTTGCTATGTTCTCATATGGCCTTTTCTATGCACATGCACACACCTGGTATCTCTTCCTCTTGTTACGAGGATACCAGTTTTATTGGATTAAGGTCCCACCCATGTGACCTCATTTAACCTTAATTACCTCTTTTAAGGCTCTGTCTCCAAATATATTCACACTGGGTGTTAGGGCTTCAAAATGTGAAATTGGGGGTGGGGGGGACACATTCAGTTCATAACATTCTACTCTCTGGGCCTCCCAAAATCATGTTCTCTCACGTGCAAAATACATTCACCCCATCCCACCAGTCTTAATCCATTCCAGAATCAACTCTGTCAAACATGTCATCTAAATATCACCTAAATCAGGTATGGGCGAGATTTGAGATATGATTCATTCTCTGGCAAATTCCTCTATAGATGTGAATCTGTGAAACTAGACAAGTTTTGCGCTTCCAAAATATAATAGTGGGACAGTGATAGGATAGTTTTCTCCTGGCATTATTGAAAGGATTGAAGAGATTATATATGTGAAAGGCTGGGTATGTTCTAAGTGCCAATAAATGTCAGCTGTTATTAGACGAGAAATTTTGGGGTACATTACAAAAACATTTTTTTGAGTCTAAAATACAAGGAGAAAACATGAATATCTGTTGCAGCTGTCTCTTGACACACAGAACTATGTTTTGGCTTTGCAGATCTGAAAGAATCTCAGGGACCCCCAGGAGTATGTGGATTACATCTTCAAGCCAATGAAAATAGGCTCTTTTGGGTAATCACTGGATGCCAGCAGTATTGCAAACCTAATCTCAATATGTAACCAATTTTAATGTTATTACCATCCTAAACAGAACTCATGGTAGAAAGCAAACTTAGAGCAGTGTAACTTTTCTACTAAAATTGACTCCCACATCACTTAATCCTTAAATTAGTAATGAATCACTTATCTGGAAGGAAAAGAAGGCCACATAAATTATCGGGTCAACCCATCTGCTTTTGGCTGATGAGCATAATAAATCTGTTCCCTGAGGCAATCAGGGTATGAGGGGTCACCAGTGGTGAAAAGAAAAACTGCTTCTTCCCTGCATCAACAGACTTTAGACAGGAGTGTATTGATTATTCAGGAAAGCAGAAATAGTCAACATAGTAGCCACTATCATAGAATCAGCATT